ATCTTTTTAAGAGGTGAGGGGCCTTGCTGATTCACATACCTGCTATCTCCCTTTGGAGCCCTTTATAGACTGCTTTATGTCCTTCATGAAATCTCGGTTCATTTTGCGTATGTTTCATTACCTTTTGCTGATACTTTGATTTGAAACATACCCTCTGACGCATGACCATAAGGAAGTACTCTGGCATTGGAAACTTCCCAGGTTTCCCCACTTACTTAAATAGATCCTGCTTTAGGATCTCTTAGGAAAAGATCCCGTATCGGACTCTTTGCTCACTCGGTTCATACATCTGGTGATCAAGTAGTCATATTCAAAATATATCACCTCACACGTTTTTGATATAACTGGAACAAGATACAACACACGAAAAAATGCATTGACTGGCTATGATGAACTCTGATTTTGTTCAACAAGTGCCTAAATTGATATGTGCGCATTAGATTTTAATTTTCTATTCTTCTAGAAATATGCCAGTTAAAATATTCATACAATTATAACCCATCACCTATTTTTTCCTTCTATTGAGTTAATAACCTTCGGCCAGAATAACCTATGGCTAATAGAACAGTTTTTGAAACTGTATTTGAGGTCAGCTAACATGGAATGTCTTTGATTGATTTGCAAGCATCAGTATCAGACAGGATAATGTTCAAGCAAGGAGACTTTCAAATGGCAGTCCCGGTTCGCCAGGACTTGTATGTCAAAACTGCAGAGGTATCCGAGATCTTCACTATTTTAAAGAAACTTCCCAAAGACCCTCATGTCGTATTTCCAGTAGTTAGAGAACTCTGCTAGAAATCAGTAGAACAAGTATTTTCTTTTCCAAGTATCTTCTTTGCTTTTATGGCTTGAAGTGCGAGAGGGATGAGCTAGATGTATTCTCTTTCAACAGTCAGTGCAAATTATGTCAGAACTGGTAAATCTTTCAAGGAGATTTCCAGATAACATGAGAAATTGTAATACCTTAGAGCCTGTAGTACTATGGAGGTAAAACTGAGTGGATTTTCATTTCAGGGATTTCATCTGACACATTTCACTCTGGTGCTTCACAGGTTTGTAGCTAAAATTGCCTATTTCCCTTTATTTGATAAATCCTGAACCCCTTAAGTGATAACCACTTTTTTATGGTCTCTCTTACATGTTACAAAGATTGATGAAACTCTTGGGATTACCTCTAGGTTTTAAGAGACCTTGTTTTTAAATAGCCTTGCTAGTTTGGCATGCCTCGTGATTGTAAACAAGAGCATGTACACTATAAAGGTAAGTTTGATTCACGAATACATTTGTTTTTGATTTAAGGTGAAAAAAAAACAAGAAGTGAATAAAATCCATTCTATTTTGGATCAGGATACTATTCCCTTTGAAAGCAAATGCTACCATTAGATGGCACTGTGGTTCTGTAACTGGGGTGCTTTCTATGATAGTGCAAGCTGCTGTAATGCTATTTACTTATGAAGCTTATTAAATCTACTTTTATAGTGTGACTTCCAAATGAGCATAATTTAATTGGCATATTACTATTGCAAGTACATTGTTTCTGAGACCAAAACATTTTAAGCCATATGTACTTTATGCAACAAGTATACATTTTCATTAGGAGAACTGCCATCCTTAGAAAAATAGAAGGGTTGCAGTGCCTCGCTGAGGACCACAGTGTACTGAGAGTCAACCTGTAACACACTGTTGCTCTTCATCTGTCCCTAACAAGATATTAAACATGATTTTGGCCTCCAGCAAACATTTTACTGTGAGTATGTAGGGGGGAAATTAAACCAAGCCCAAACAACTACTGAAGACAAACTCCCAGTTTATAAAACATCTGATCTCATTTGAATATTTTAATCTGCTTTACTAGCAGTGGGATCTGACAAAACAATAAAGCATTAGAACATCGTTTCACATTAACATTTGCAAAATACAGCAAACATTTTTCTGTATGTATTTACATAAGCAAACATATGTATTCAAAATAGAATGCATTTCACCATTTGGCAATAATATTACATAAGTACAGTGCATGACTGGCTGAATGAGATAGATACAGAGGATTTTTTACCCTGAAGTATATAAAGTGTGCACACCAGCTTAGGAGATATATGGTGAGCTTTATGTCTTTGGGCATTTTTCAGATGCTGTTTAAAGAATAATAAAATGTAAATCTACTTGAAAAAAATGTTAATTAAAACATTTTCAATCAGAGCAAGGTGGGTTTTTTTGGATGTAGATATGACAAACTGGTTCATCAAACAAGGAAAATACTTCTCCTATATAGTATGGGAAGACCCTAACCTTAGAGCTATTTTGAAATGAATGAATTTTTTTTTTTTTTCCTGGAAAATTTCAGAAGTTTCTGTTCCAGTCTGATGTGTACTGAAAACTTTTTTTTTTCTTTCTTTTTTTTTGCAAGAGAAGATTGTTGCTCTGAAGCTGATCTTATTACACTGTAGCATTCTGGAGTTCAAGTGGTCATTCCAAACATAGGCCCAGTGCTATAAAAATTCTGGTCTTAAAACTGCTGATCTTTGACATCCGTCATCAATGTAATGACTCTCTTAATTGCTCTCTGCTGATTATCTACCTTCCAGATCCAGAATGGTGAGTACCGGAAATTTGGACACTGACTCTGCCATCCTCACTAAGGCAAACCAGGCAAAAATCTATTAACATATTGGTGTAAGATGGCAGAATCAGGCCTCACAAAACCATCCAAGATGTTCATGGAGAGATGGAGGTATTGGTCCTTGTATGCTGTGCATTTTTTATCTTGGCTTAGAGAGGCCTCTTAGGCAGAAGCTGATGATCACTCATTAAAACCACGTCTGAAGTACTCACAGTATTAAAAAGTCAGATATCCCTGCTTTTAAACAAAAAAAAAGTGTTACACTACCTCCAGCTGTCAATTAAAGAAATGCTGTCACATGATTTAGGTCCAAAAGATAGGCTTTATTTTAATAAGCTGCAAAATAATTTAATGTTCAGAGTCATTTTTAAAGAACCATCAAGTGAGTAGCTGGACCTCTTTTTGTTTGTAGTGAAACATTCCCTGTCAGTATTTGCAACCTGAGCAGTTTGACATCACAGAAGAGAAACGGTGCAATGAAAGGATGAGAAGCAGAGGAGCTGATTTGCGGTGCCACGTGGGTGTAAGCAGAGAGTGGAGGCATTCAATGCTTTTCTAGCAGCTTAGTGAGCACGACCTGGTGAAGGAGACTGCAGGAGAGCAACCAGAGCCTCAGCTGTGTTTGGAAGAGCTGAGCTTCAGAGACGTGCAGGACTCACATGGGAATCTTTCGGCCAGCTCTGCTCCCTGGCACAAACTGATGGTGGGGAATCAGGGATCTCTCTGTCTCTTTCTCTCACATGGGAAATGCTCACATCAAGATGGGCACAAATTTTACAAAAGGTTTCCTTCCCACTGGAGTCCTTTTGTACGATATCTGGATTCATTATATGGAAGCAATATTTTTTGGTGCCAAATCCTGAGCCTCAGACCTCTACCCACAAAACAAGTTCAGGTTTGAGCTTTCTGCTCCTTTCCTAAGGTGTCCAAACCCATGCACTGAATGTTCCCAAGGCCAGCGGGAGCACATAAACAAACTCAGTGTGAGCACAGTGCTTAGACCACTTACAAGGGGACCGATGAATCCAGTCTTTCATAAAACAACCAAAACCTCCATTTTGGTGGCATTTTGGTGGGTTATCGGGTTTTTTGGTTTTTTTTTTTGATTTTTTGGAGAGCCATAAATGGCCAGGGGCTGTGGGGGAGTGACTGTCCCCAAGTGCATGCAGCACTGGGTGGCCTGTGCCACAGGCCCAGCCCGTGCTGCGAGTTACTGCTTGTAAAACCAGCAGACTTGGTCATCCTGCTGGCAACTGGCACCTGAATAGTAAAAGCAGTTGCTTGGAAATCAGCAAAATAGCCACCTAGGCTCAAAGTCTTCCTCTACCGCAGGGCTCAGTGTTTTAAACTAAAGGTCTTCTTCTTCCCAACAAATGTTGTTTGATGAAGATGTTTGGATTTCAGTTCTGCGGGTGGACGCAACATTTATGTTTCTGATCTGCAGCAGCGTCCCACAGGCTTCAGTGAAATTGTGATGCTGAAAGGAAACAGTTTCATGACTAGGCATCTCTGTCAAACAATGTAATTGATGTTCTTTACATAATGTATTCTGCGCTTGGAGCTATACAGGTAAGATACTGTGCTCTTCCTAAGTCCCTTATTTTCAGATAGGCCCCATTTGCCCATATATATTATATTAAGGCTGAATCCTAATAGTGCAAGCTGCCTACCATTCCTGAGCAATCTACCGTAACCACAAAACCGAGGAAATCAATTTTGTGCAAGTAACAGTTTTCTAATAATTCTGAGTCTACAACCGCTAAAACAAAACCAAAGCATAATTGCCTTTTCAGCCAAAGAGAAACGGTGAGACATAATCAGATGAAATCCTTTACTAGAGGTTTTACTCTTACAAAACCTCCGCTGGCTTTACTTAAATCAGACTTTTGGAGCTGACCAGAGGAATGGATGAGGAATGCTTCCTAAAGTTATTTAGCAATGTTCTGCCTGATATTCCACGCTCTTCTCTCACTTAGTTTCTCTATCAACACCACAGTGAAGGAGCAGAGAATCAAGCCCAATAATTACTCTTAAAATATATTTTCAAGTTTTAAATAGAGCAGATGAAAGTTGTAGAATGGAAATAAAGTACAAGACGTGAAATAAGAGATAAAGATTAATCAAGGGAACATTCAAGTATAATTTACTTTCGAAGAGTGCTAATTTTGAACTGCAGAACAAATGGCAGAAAAGCCCAGCAACATTTCAGAACGGTCATTCAGAGGAAAATATACCCATAAAAACCTTGTTACCAAAATTTCTATATAACTGATCTATACAGGTTTTAATAGACTTTTCTTTAATGTTTCAAAATTTATTTTAAATATATATATTAGTAAGTAAAGCATCATTTTATTTAAAATTCCATAAAGTGCTCATTTGGTAATTGATAACAAAATTCCATATAGCAAGACAAACTAGTTGGAACCTACTTTGCGAGGCAACCGAAGAACAGCTTAGCTTTCATTGCAAAAAGAAATACGTAGATTTCTTCACAGCCCATGTTATAATACCAGAAATTGCATTTTTTTTTCTTTAAGAAATATATCCTTTAGAATATTAAAAAAATAAGTTTAATAAAGCCTGTGCTTAAAACAGCCAAAGTACTGTATGAAAAAAAATTGCACATTTGATACCATTTCAACCCTGCTTTTCATCAACAGGATGAGATGAGGCGCGTGTGATGCTGTCGGAGGGTCTCTTGATCAGGGCTAGTTTTCCTAAGCTACCACAGCCTCTCACAGCAAGGTGAAGTTTTCAGTGTAGATGCTCTGCTTTCTCATGGCAGATGCCACCAGGCTAGCAGAGTCACACACCGCTAACCTTCTCATTCCCTGGGCTGATGCTTCCCTTTGAGGGACCATCTAAGTGACGAATTCCGATTGTAACCATTGAATAATCCTTAGCCATCATTTTTGCCTCTTTTTTCAAACTCTTCATCTGTGCTAGCTGGAGCTGGCTGGAATTATATGCAAGTGCTGGGATAGTGTTCACCAAGATCAACTGGAAAGGTTTCTTCTCCTCCTTGTAGCGACACTGAATGTAACGAGAGAAAGCGGAGCGGTAGGTTTTGTTGAACAGTGTGTACACGAGTGGGTTGACAGCCGAAGAAAGGTAGCCAATCCAGACAAATACATTAAGTAGTCCTCCGATGACTTCTTCATTGCATGACTCCTTGCAAATTACGGCCATCACATTGGTGATGAAAAACGGGCACCACATCACAACAAACAGAAAGAAGACGATGCCAAGAACCTTGGAAGCCTTCTGCTCGTTGCTGATGGATTGCATTGTTCTCCTGCCAGAAAGCCCCACGTCTCTGTTCAGAGACCGTTGGAAGAGTTTCTCTGAAGACAGGGAGCTCTGAGGGAGGAAGCTAAATGAAGCGAGCTTGGTCTTTGGGCCAAGGTCATTCACACATAAGGTAGCCTCCTTCTGTAGCGACTTGATAGTTAAAAAATAGGTGACTACCATGATGGTTAGAGGTATGAAGAATGCCACAAAAGAGCCTATTAGAACAAAATTCTCATCTGCAAGTAGGCAGCTGCCATTCTTAAACACTTTGGAATCATCTTGTAGGCCAAAGACAGGTACAGGCATGGAGACACCTGAGGGTAGGTTAGAGAAAGAGAACGTTAAACACAGCAACAATAAATTCCACTTCCAGCCTCCAAGGGAAAGAACAAAAACAAAATGATCTGTGAGCTGTACACAGATCATTTCGCAAAGAATGAATGATGAGTAGTTAGTTCATGAGGACATAATCTAAAACCGAGAGATTACAACCAAGATTGATAGAGTTCTCAAAGCAAGCTGAAACTGCATAGTGAGGATAATATTGTACCTCATGTTTCATTAGCAACATGATGTTAATCCTGTTTTGTGGGATTTACGGGATGATAATCCCATTTTTTACTGGGACTACAGTAAGAAAGGATGCCCTGTGACATTTTGTAAACTAATCTATGGTCTGCTGGGTTCTGCTGGGCTCTGGCATTTGTAAGGAACTGAATAATCTTTTCAGGTTCCCAGCCAAGAAGGATAGGGGAAAAGCAGCACTGAGGTCACTAAAGGGATGGTGCAATTATTTTAATCTGGATACCCTCTATTCTTCAGAAAAACTCAGCCACACGGGAATACATTTCCATGAAACTGCCACGTAATATCCGATAGCAGCAAAGCCCAAAGTCTCATGTTCTTTGGTCTTGACCCCACTTGTAATGATTTCCAGAATTCCTCCTTGCTCCCTGCCACTTTGGCAGAGGCTTTTGTTGGTTGTTGTCAAGTTGAAATCTCCTTTTTTTTTTTTCTCATATTGGCTCTCAACTGTTAAAAGTGGCCTTCATTTTTCATTAGAAGATTTCAAGTGTTCTGGGTAATGATTTCTGACTAGACTGTGAAATACTGAGCTATTCTAGGACGAAATAAACATTTTTAGCAGGTCTGACAGTGATCTTCCACTGGATGTTTTTCTTTTTACCCTGTAATGTCCATATAGTTGACACAGCCTAAATGCAAAACAAAACAAAATAAAACAAAACAAGAAAAGCTTTGCATGGAAACATGGAAAAGATGTGGCCAGATTAAACACAGTGGGACGCCTTATGAGACAGCCTGAGCTTAGGTTCACCCCCCCGCCCCCAGGATGGTGAATGTCCCTTTACACTGCTGACAATCGATATAAGCTGCTCCCTCAATGCATGACTCCCAAGTTCTGCATCCACAACTCCATGATTCCCAAGGCACAGCAGCACTACAGACTGTATCTTCCTTGAAACACATCATATGT